GGATAGGCCCCAGGATCTTATGCAACAGCTTATGCAACCTCCCTCTTCTTCCTCCAAGCAGACAATTGCCCTCTGTGTGTTATATTGGCTAAGTTTGGGCATAATATGGAGTGGGCAGCCCTGTGACTACCAATTCCATAATGCTGGTTGCACCCAGGCCCATAGCCTACCAAGACCAGCATGACACAGTGGCAAAACTATGGCCCATGCTGTTGCAGGCTGCCTGCTGCTATGACATACTTATGGCCTGAGATTGCCACAACCAGCCACAGGTGACGCTGGTCAGAATGTTAAGTCCATCTGCCTGTCTCCTTCAGTCTCTGTCAGGTACCAGGGTGAGTCTAGAGGTCCAGTCTGTGGGTACGAGTCTCTGGATGGAGCCCCGTATTGGGTTTCACCTGCCTGCCACTGAGCTCCAGGCAAAGTCCTGTGCTTCTTCCATGTCTTACTCTTTGTAAGCAGAGATTTGTTCCACACTGAATTGCCTGAGATTGGAGAGATAGTGAAAATAGTTTCTTGGCTGCCAGGCTAACATAGATGCAGAGGCTCACTTTAAGGCACTGCCACTGTGGCTGGTGTAATACTTGGGTTCAAGTACAAGGCTTGGACTCAATCCTTTCCCTGTCCACCAAATGAGAGGCATCTCTCTCCATATCTCATACTGCACTGCCTGCCTTCTTCAGTGTTTGTTTTCATATTATTATGCTAAAACCAGGTACTACAGTTTCTTACCTGGTTTCTTTGGCTCTTCAGAAGGTAGTTCTATGCATGACTAGCTGTTCAAATTAATTACTGGAGAGTCTTAGCCACTATCCTGCTCTACCTCCCCTTCAGAATTCTTGATTACTAAGGCCAGCTACTTGGGATCAAAGATTGTGAGGATTGCAGTTTGAGGGCAGTCCTTAAAAAGCTAGGGATATCCCATCTCAAACAAACAAACTGAGTGTGGTGGTGTATACCTGTCATGCCAGCGACAGGCCACAGACAGGAGAATAGCAGTCCAGGCAAAAACTGTGAGACCCTATCCAAAAATTAACTAAAGCAAAAAGACCTGGGGGATGTGACTCAAGTGGTAGAGTGCGTAACAAGTATGAGGCCCTGAGTTCAAGCCTAAGTACAGCCAAGAAAAAAAAAGAATTCTTCTACTAAACTTGATAAAGATAGAACAAAATAAAAGCTACAGGGAAAATTTAATATTGATACAAAAAAGTACAAATAAAACATTACCAGCACCCAATTACATTAGTAATATAACACCATAATCAAGTAGGGTTTATTCTAAGAACATAAGATTGCTTCAATATTATTAGTAACAATAATATGTATTACAAGTAGTAATGGTAACTATATGCAACATATTGATTAACATGGCATACTATATATATATATGTGTGTATGTGTGTATATATATATGTATATTTCCATAAATACTGAAAAGACCTTAGATAAATATAATACCTGTTTTAAAAGAAATTCAAGAAAGTAAGAATCAATTATTACACTCCCATTAAACGTTGTACTAGAGAAATTAGCCAATGAAATTATACAAGAGAAATAAATTAGAGGCACAAGAAACAAAATTATCTCTAATTACAGATGATATGATGATATACCTTTAAAAGTTTTAAGTCAGGGGTCAGCCAAATTCAACCTGCTGCCTATTTTTTATGGACTGTGTACTAGTAATTTTTTTTGCAGTGCTGGACCTCATGCTTGACAGGCAAGTACACTACCACTTGAGCTACTCTGCCAGTCTGCTTTAGCATTTTTAATGGTTGAAAAAAATAAAAAGAAAACAACATTCTGTGACACATCCACACTGATCTGTTTACATTTCATGCTACAAAGGCAGAGTTAACAGACACTAAATAGGGAGCTGTCTTCTCAGTGTTGCTCTGCAAACTACAAATCATGGTGATGCAGTTATAACCACACTGTTTCAGGTGCCACACATACATATTATAACATTTTATTTAATTTTCATTACCAGAGGATACCCATCCTGTCAAAACCAAAACAAAAAAGAGAAAAGTGGACTTCAAATGCTGAACTTTTAAGGCACAATGGACGGTGTATTGCTTGGTTATCAAATTCAATAAAGTATTGCATTTATTATGCAATAATGTGAAAGCTGTGCTAAAGGAATATAGTATGCATGAACCTTACCAGACTAACACTCATTAAGATATTCTAACTCTGGAGTAACAGTCTTTTGGGTATATCCCCAAGAGTGGTATTGCTGGATCAAATGGTAGATCGATGTCCAGCTTTTTAAGTAGCCTCCAAATTTTTTTCCAGAGTGGTTGTACTAGTTTACATTCCCACCAACAGTGTAAGAGGGTCCCTTTTTCCCCGCATCCTCGCCAACACCTGTTGTTGGTGGTGTTGCTAATGATGGCTGTTCTAACAGGGGTGAGGTGGAATCTTAGCGTGGTTTTAATTTGCATTTCCTTTATTGCTAGAGATGGTGAGCATTTTTTTCATGTGGTTTTTTGGCCATTTGAATTTCTTCTTTTGAGAAAGTTCTGTTTAGTTCACTTGCCCATTTCTTTATTGGTTCATTGATTTTGGTTCATTGATTTTGATGTCCCCACTCCAGAGGAACTAATACAGAAACCTTAAAGTGACAGAGGTCAATATGAGAAGGGGATCAGGAACTAGTGAAAAGGTCATGTAGAGATGAATCAACTTGGGTTGTAACACATTTGTACATGGAAGCAATGCTAGGAATATTTCTGCATAGCTATCCTTAACTCAGATAGCAAATACGCTTTGTCTTTCTTATTATGCTTATGTCTTCTCTTCAAGAAAATTAGAGATAAGGGCAGAACAGGTTCTGCCTGGAAGTGAGGGGGAGAGGAGGGGAGTGGGGCAAGAGGCAGGGAGGAGAAATGACCCAAACAATGTATGCACATGTGAATAAATGAATAAAAAAAAATCAACTAATGTAAATGTCATGTCGATATAATGAAAAGCAGAAACCACATGATAATGTCAATATGTGCAGAAAAGCATTCATCAGAATCATAAAGAATACACTAAAAACTATTAGAATTAATGAACAAACTCAGCAAAGTTGGAGAATCAATATACAAAAATAAATTGTATTTTTATATGCTTGCAATGAGCAATCCACAAAATGAAATTAAGAAAACAATTTCTCCAGGCACTGATGTCTCATGCCTATAATCCTAGCTACTTAGGAGGAGGAGATCAGGAGGATCACAGTTCAAAGTCAGCTTCGGCAAATAGTTCGTGAGACCCTATCTTGAAAGTACCCATCATAAAAAAGGGCTGGTGGAGTGGCTCAAGTGGTACAGTGCCTGCCTAGCAAGAGTGAGGCCATAAGTTCAAACCCCAGTATCTCCAAAAAAAAAAAAGTCAGATAATAGCAAGTATTAGAGAGGATATGAAGAAATTGTACAACTCATACAACTACAAGTGCCGTATGGTCCAGTATTTCCTCAAAAGATAAAACAGAGTTGTCATAGAACCCAGGAATTCCACTCTTAGGTCTAACTCCAAAAGAAATGAAAACAGGTGTCCAAAGCAAATCTTGTGCACAAATGTTCACAGCAGACCTATTTGCAATGACCAAAGGGTGAAAAAAATCCGCATATCCATTGATAGATGAATGGTCAGATATGTGGTGTATTTGTACAGTGGAATATCATTTGGCCAGGGAAAGTAATATAGTACAGTTTGTCCCTCTGTATCCTTGAGGGATTGGTTCCAGAATCCCCTTCAGATACCAAAATCAATGATTCTCAGGTCCCTTATATATTTGCATGTGGCCTGCACATTCACCTATATAGGTAAAGTCACCTCTACATTGTTTATAGTACCTTATATAATGTGAATGCTTGGCAGTTTGTTATAGTGTGTTGTGTAGGGAGTAGTGACAAGAAAAAAGTCTGTTCAAAAAAAAGTAATGCAATTTTTTTCCTATTATTTTTGTACGCTGCAAATAAAATTATTGGCACATGCTACAAGGTAGATGGACCTTAGAAATACTATGCTAATTGAATTATACAATATGTGGATTTTTCTGACTGCTTTCAATTAGCATATTTTGAAGGTCCATCCACGCATATGAAATATCCCAACTAGAGAAATCTATAGAGACAGAAAGTAGATTAGTGGTTGCAGAGGCTGGAAGGAAGCAGGATAGAGGAATGATGACTAAAAGGTGTGGTTTCTTTTAGAGGTTACAAAAGTGTTCTAAAATAAACTGGTGATGGTTGCATGTATATGTGACTATACTAAAAACCATTGAGGTATTCACTTTAAATGGATAAATTGTATGGTATTTAGATTTATGTCAATAAAGGTATTTTTAAATGAGGCAGAGATAAAGTATTACACAGAAAAAGTACAAAGGATAGGAAGCGCTAATTCTCAGAAGAGGAAATGTACAAGATACAGGGTTTACCTCAGTTAAGTCAGGACATAACTTTTTATTTAACTACATCAGATTGGAAAGGATAAAACATATGCTTGAAATAATTCAGAGAAATGGTCTTTTCATCCATTTCAGGCTGGAATTTTGGCTACGTATTTTTTGGAAAGTATAATACCCGTCCGTGTTCATTAAGTTTAAGATACTCATACTGTTTGAGTTCTTTGCCCTTCTTTTAAGATTCCAGCTCATGGAAATAAACTATGGAAATAGAGAGCTGTCTCTCATGCTTTATCAATCGCAAAAAGCAAGTTTCAGAGTGAGAGTTCATTTGATCCAATTTTTGTAAAAATGAACAATAAATGCATAGGGATATATACAAATAATATATGCATGTTTGTTAGTATGAAAACACTTGCAGAGAAATATGTAATTATGGACCTTACACGCGCAGTTTTGTATTGTTTGTCTAGTTTCAGTGAAAAGGAATTACATTTGCAATCTGAGCAACAGGGAAATTTTTAAGTTACAAGCGCAAGGAAGGTGAGGTAATTAGCAAGGAAGGGAATTCGATATTCTCGCTTAGGTTTTGTGTGCGCTGCTCTTACAGACAGTGCGGCGGCTAAGTGTCGCTTGTATGCGGAGCATTACAGTAACCCGTTTTCAGTGATGAGTCAGAGTGCGTGGTGCTGATGCTGCTGCCATTTCATCACCTTTGAGAGCGCTGCATCCATCCCTTCTCTCTCCCAGAGCCTGGGCCTACCTCGCTGCGCGCCCCCAGGCCAGTGATGCCCTCTCGGCCGAGCTAGATTGGGGCTGAGCCGCTCTCTCCAAGGCCTTGGTGGGGCGCCCCCTCCCGCCGCCCCAGGCCTGGGCCAAGGAGACCTGACAAGCTGCGGCCATGGAAGCCATCTGGCTGTACCAGTTCCGGCTCATTGTCATCGGGGATTCCACGGTGGGCAAGTCCTGCCTGATCCGCCGCTTCACCGAGGGCCGCTTTGTTCAGGCTTCGGATCCCACCGTGGGGGTAGATTTTTTCTCCCGCTTGGTGGAGATCGAGCCAGGAAAACGCATCAAGCTCCAGATCTGGGATACCGCGGGTCAAGAAAGGTTCAGGTGGGAGCGCAGGCTGGGCCCGCAAGCAGTGGGAGGGTCTTTGGGGCTTGCACTGCACCTGCAGGCCCCTGGGGAAAGAGGACTTACTGATTCTAATCGCGGTACCGGTTTGACAACCAAGGGTCTGGGGCATCTGCTCAAGCCCACGTTGGGCTAGCCAGTTCCATGCAGGGAAAGAAGCGCCTGGCTAGGGAAGGCCACTAATTGACACTTATTGCTTGCACCACAACTCCATCAACCCGCCCCTTAATGGCTAATAAACTACCTGGAATTGATCTGTATATAATTCATCAATCTCAGACCATATGTTACATACTTTCAAGAATGTTTCCAGGTCACTGTAACATAACAACTGACAGCTATAGGTAGGTAGGTAGGTAGATGTATATAAGATGTCTTATTTCTGTAGCTGTGTGTGTGTGTGTGTGTGTGTGTGTGTGTGTGTACTAACATATGTCCTAACACAAAGGAAATATATACTGATGAAGTGATTCATTCTTCCTTGTAACCAGCACACATTCAGTGATCATCCACTATGTATCAGACAGTGAACTTGTTTCTGGGGAGATTGTGAGGAGATTCACACAAGGGAATGCCATGCAATCAAAACAGACAGAGCCTCTTTCCCTCTCAGAACTTCTATGCTACCATCTGGGGGAGAGGGTGGATTAGATAAATAGCAATTACACAAAAGTGTCTTCTTTGTATTTGTATGCTACTCCCTCTTATAACACTTGGCAGATAATTAGTAATCAATGATATGTTTATTTTTCTCTGACAACCCTTTGCTTTTCCTTTGTAGCATATATTACTTGTAATTATATATATGAATACAGAAGAGGGAGAATAAACTGGAGATGAGGCTCAAGAAAAGACAGGAAATGCCCAGGAATAGGAAACAGCAAGAAAAAAGTAAGAGAGAACACAAAACTTTGCACAGAACAATTTGAACTAAAGTCAGGTACAGCAGCAGGAACCAGACCAAAAGGACTCAATATCCCATGTTTATGATCATTTATTCATTTATCTATTGAACATTAATTGAGCATATAAGTTACTGATGAGGTAATTGAAGAAGGGTAGGAAGAAGAGATAGTTACAAACTTAAGTTGTCTCTAACTCCTCACTTCTACAAAGCTTTGGCAAATCCTTTATATGGTTCACTTTGAACTCATGATTACATCTCTCCTAAGTGAAGAAAGGTATCTTGTGTATGTTTGTTGGAATTTCTGTAATGAACAGCCTGTTCATATTTATTGCTCATTATTTATTAGGCAATTTTGATTTGTAAGACTTCTTTACAGATTAAAAACGTTAACACCATCACTGATCATGGTGATAAACACCTGTAATGCCAGCACTCAGTAGGATCTCAAGTTTGAGGGCAACCTGGGTTACATAGTAAGACCCTATCTCAAAAAGAAATGGTAACCATTTTCTGTCATGTATGTTATATTTTCCCAGTTTGTCGTTTATCTTTTTTTCATTTTAAGATCTTCTTTTTATTTAAGGAAGGTTTTTAGTTTTATGTAGCTTTATGTTGTGCTTAGAAGGGCTGACACTTTCTTTACTAAATACAAACCACTAGTAAAATATTTTAGAGTTTTGTCAGGTATCTACAGCTTGCTTATTGATTTCTTGAATCAAGCTTTTCACAAGTCAGAACTTCTGTTTGTTCCTGTCTAATTTTCTACCATTCTCCATGAATCTTCAAACATAAGGGAATTAGAAATGTTTTCATTCCCTGGGGCTGATCTGCCTGCTTCTGGAGACTTGAATTCATTTGTAAGGTCTGCCCTTACCATCATCTATCTTGGGCTATAATTCCCTGGAGAATGTTTGTTCTATTAACATTGAGCCATTGAAGCTATTGAGACCTTCATTGTTTACCTTATTCATCCAAGAAGACATAAATCCTCAAAATAGACATTGATAAAAAAAATCAGTTTTCTAAAGTAATGATTATAGAGGCAAATCATTCTGCATCCCCTAATTAGCTCATATACTGTAAGCAAAGTATCATAATATGTATGTATAATGAAGTCCATCAAATCAAGAAGTTAAAATGTGTGAGGTTTCTTCTGTTTGAGAAGTATAGAAAATACATAATAAGCTTTAGAAATATTCTAATTATGATTTAAATCAATAATTTTAAGGGAAAGCTTTGCTTATTTAAGGCAGGTTTTCTAAGCTAGTGTCTCCTGAGTCCACTTCTCTGAAATTTGTCAGCAAGTAGAGCTGAAAGGTACCTTGCCCCTGAACACTTTACCACCCACCCACCTTTTCCCATTCCCACATGGCCTAGTGAATAAAAACCAAAACTGTTTCTCTTCACAGAAAAGATTGAGGACTCCTGTTAGATAATAATAGCAAAAATGGAACCAAAGAACCATAATAATGATAAATAGAAAAATAGAGTATAGGTATAGTTTCTGTTGACTAGCAAATTCACTTTTATTCATTTGTAATTATCTCAAAATTTACCCAATTAAAAACTAACATTATTATTATTATGGAATGGCATGTATATTCACTTTAAAAAAAGTTCAGTTTTTAATAAAGGACTATGTCAGCAACCAGGAAGCCTAGAATACTCTGACTTCATTGGTGTGCAGGAGTTTGGGCACAACCTTTATTTTTACTTCTTTCTTGTGTTTTAGATCCATCACTCGTGCCTACTACAGGAACTCAGTAGGTGGTCTTCTCTTATTTGACATTACCAACCGCAGGTCCTTCCAGAATGTCCATGAATGGTTAGAAGAGACCAAAGTACACGTTCAGCCCTACCAAATTGTATTTGTTCTGGTAGGTCACAAGTGTGACCTGGATACACAGAGGCAAGTGACTCGCCACGAGGCCGAGAAACTGGCTGCTGCTTACGGCATGAAGTACATTGAGACGTCAGCCCGAGATGCCATTAATGTGGAAAAAGCCTTCACAGACCTGACAAGAGACATATATGAGCTGGTTAAAAGAGGGGAGATTACAATCCAGGAGGGTTGGGAGGGGGTGAAGAGTGGATTTGTACCAAATGTGGTTCACTCTTCAGAAGAGGTTGTCAAATCAGAGAGGAGGTGTTTGTGCTAGTCAGCCCTTTTATTTTCAAAACATGCTCTCCCTCTTGAACTTAAAAGTTACCAAAATAAATAGAATCCTTATGTGACTGAAGAGAACTCAACGTTTGGATATCAAGTGAGCATCCTTCCTGGAGTGGGGGTGGGGACTGATTGATAGGCTGGTATGCAGGTGGATGGGGGAGCCTGGGTGCTGTGACTGAGGTACTAAATTGCTGATATGGGCTGGGCCAGACACTGTTTTGTAGCCCAGGCTCGGCAGTGGCAGCTCCATGTGCCCTTTGTGGAGCACATGTTAAAGGCCTGGGGTTTGGGAAGCTAGGTTCCAGGAAAACCTACCTAAAGACAGAACAACTGTTCCTCCTTATTTCAGCTTGCTTATAGGTAATGAACACTAAGAAATACATAAAGGGGAAAAGTATCATATTGGGAACATAACTGAAAAAAGAGTATAGATCACCATATTTAAGCCAAATGTTTGGTTAAAAAGTACCAGTTAGCTTCTAACAGCTCACCTGTGAGGGGCATGGATTAGTTATTTGCTAAGGCCCTTTCAAGGTCTGGCACTCTAATAAAAAATGATGTGAGTTGTGAACAGGGAGGCCGTTCACACACTGTTGTTATCACATTCAAGAGAGTGTACACCCTTATGAAGAGTTACCAGCTGTGTGAAAGAAATTGTCCCGTGCAAATCACCATGTAAATAGAGGAGAGAAACACTGTAACTCAAATGCTATGGCCTATTTCCCTCTTAACATACCTGGGGTTTCACTGCATGGGGACTGCAACCTGGAAGTAAACGTCACGCCTGCTTCTTCAGGCACCTGACAGTCACAACATAGGAATTGTCTCTGAGACAATCCCTTGCTCATTAATCCTGTACTGAGTACTGCTCAACAGGAGGCACTGCAACCCTTACGAACACACTCGTTACTTACTCTACCTATTTGATCATCATAATAGGCCTGTGAGGTTTTTATCTCTGTTTTACAGAATAGTAAACTAAAAGCCAGGACACTCACTTGGCCAAGGTCAAGGATTCCTGATTCCTATTTCCTTTTACTGGATCATCGTGCTGTCAGATGAGTAACTGATGATTATTAATTTGTTAACACTGGAAGACACATGCCTGTAAATAAATGTTCTCTACATGCTAGGATGTTTTCCTTATTAATTATGAACCAGCTATAATTCTGAAGGAATTCTGAAGAACCTGGGAATGAATCAAAGGTAAAGCCCATTCAGGTATTATTGACAAAAAGGCTTTAAACAAGTGATTAATTATTGTACAACTAAAAACACATTAGAACTGTGTGGGCTCTAAGTGTTCATGTCACTGAAACACAATGAACATTTTATTGAAAGGAACCAAATATAGCAATGGAGAGTGGGATGTGGAAAATGTACTCACCCCACAATGACCTTGGCTACTTGTCTGCCATTGTATCTACACTGGGTTCCTGTCTACCCTTGAGAGTCAGCTTTTAATTCTCAGGTGAAAAAACAGCTAACTGTATAAGCAAATTGGAATGGCTGGCTCAGAGGTTCCATTATCTTCTTGAAGAGAGGTGATGCTTTAAACTAATTTTTGGATTATAGCCAGTTCAGCTAGGCAAAAGCCATACTTTTCACAATAAGAAAATATTCTGATTAGAGTCAGTTTTCTCTTATCTATTGGTAGGAAAGCCTAAAATGGCAAATTGCTTTATAATAACATGCTGAACTTCAGTATGAATGTGACTGCATCCAAAAGTTTGGGAATTTACTTCAGCCAGAATAAAGATGCCAAATAATGAAAATCATGGAAGACCATTCTGCCACCTGTGTCCCAACTTGGATGAACAAACCACCTTGGACCAATTCACAGCACCAACAACAAGTGAACTAATCATTTTCTCTATATTCATTTCAAACAACCCGGCTTGGGTTACATTGCCAACTTCTTATTTGTAGAAGGCAAATAAAAGATGGTTAATTGAGTCAACACAAAATTTCAACTACTGTACTTAATTCTGTCTAGAAGATTCTGAAGTAAGACTATCCAGTGGATAAATGAGAGTTGATTAGATTCTTATCAGTTCAGGAAAAGGTTAGAAACAAAATTTCTCTGTGGTTTTCTTGATTAAAATACATTATATACTTTTCCACTCCTGGCATTTTTAAAGCAGGTATAAAAATACTCAGCATAGATGCAACACAGATGTATGACCTTAATTGCTTAAATAAGTTCTAGAAACTTTAAAAATCATTTTAGTAGAATTCAGTGCTGTTGTCACTGCAATTAAGTGGGTTTTAGAAAATAAGTGTGAAAAATCAGGTGTTAATATAATACTAAGGATAAAGCTTAGAAGCTATTTTACTACATAGGTAGAGAAAAGATTAACTTGTAACAAAGATCACAACTGCATGTTGGATTAGATTGTCTTATATTCCAGAACAAAATGTACTGTATACTCTTCCTCACTTTGCTGTGCACTGTAATGAAATGTGAAAAATTCTTTATTTAGCTGTATGTGAACGAAAATATGCTTGTATTTAGTAAAATGGTTGATTATGTGACTGTGAGATTCCATGTGTGTTGTAGCTATTTCCAGAATCTGTCACTTCAGTGTAGCAACCCGCTACCAAGGACATCAATAAGATATGACACTTTGAACAACAGTATTCATTAGTATCTCAAAGCCAGAAAGAGAATGCAATTTCTGAAAGTTATGATTCTCATGTCAAAAGTTACTGAAAGATCACTACTTCCTTTTCAGTCCATGCTGCCATGTAAAAGGTTGGTTCTGTCAAGGCTATATTTTCATCATTGCAATTTTTAATCAAGGACCTTAATTCTGTCACCAGGCAGTTGATTATAACTATTCTCTTGCCTGGAAAGTGTTCTTTTTCCCAGGCTAAAGTGCCCCAGCGTTTTCAAATCTCTGACTTATCATGGTCAGGATCCTTTTGAGTGTGGGGCCCAGAGTAGAGCGTAACTGTTTAGCACATATCCCAGAGTTGGTAGTACACATTTGAGATAGAATGTAAAAGGGAAATATGTTTGATTCTGATCCTGGGTATAGGTAGGTTAAGTTCTGCACAGGTTTATCTCTTTTATAGTCATGAGTAAATTAAGGGACAGAGGGAAGGAAAAAACAAAAGAAAAATCAGCAATGTAATAGCATTTGATATAGTTTATCACTCTCTTCTTAAAATTTTCCCTAGGGTTTGATCATCTTTTCTTCATTTATATTAATTCCCTTGGGATCTCAGTCGGTTCCACGGTTGTAGCCAGTTAAGTCCTGAATTTATATCTCCAGCTTATCTCTTTCACATAGACTCTAGACTTTTACAGCCAAATGCCTATCTGCCATGTTCATTATGAATGTTTATTATTGCCAAAAATTTAACATGTCCTAAATTAGACTCTTCCCCAGGCTTTTCCTCCCATAGCCTTCCTCTCCTTGGTAAATAGCAACTTTGCCCTTCCATGTATTCCTGCCAAAAACCTTGGAGTCCTCATCCTTGACTCCCTTTCATAGTCTATATCTGGTCTATTTGAAAATTATGCTGGCTTCATCTTAAAAAGTATACCCAGAACCTGATATGTTTTCAACATTTTCACAGCTAACACACCCAGTGTTGGGCATTATCACTTGTTACCTGAGTTATCATGATGGCTGGTCTCCCTGTACTCCACCTTCTCTACCACAATCTGTCCTCCACACAGCAGCCCAAGGGAGCTTAATAAAGCATTAGTTATAAGCAATTACCTATTCATAATTCTCTAATGGCTATCCATTTTATTCAGCTTAAAACACAAAGTCCTTCCAATGGTCTTCAGAAGAACCCTTAAAATGAATTCCATCTCCATTTCATCACCTCTATTACCTTGTTTCTTACTGCTGACCCTGCATTCATTTTACTTCAGCTACAGTTTTCTTTTCTGATCTTCAAACACATCAAGTACATTCCTACCTCTGGGCATTTTTACTTGCTCCTTGCTCTTCCCTCTGTCTATATAATTCTTTTCTGGAATTCCTTCCTCATGTCCATCAAGTTCTGGGGTCAGCAGGTTCCACATCCTAAGGAAGATGTCATTCCTAAAGTCATTGCCCACAGATTAACCTAGATGCTTACTCTGTAGTTTTCCCTGGAGAACAACAAAGTATAGGGCATACAAACAAACAAACAAACAAACAAAACAGAAAGTAACCTTAGAAGGAGATCATGGAAATCCTGGAGATTAGTTTCACAGGAAGGAGTGGAGGGTATTTTCACAATGCAACAGTGGGTTCAGAACTACAATTTGTTGGTGGAATCATTTCTGCCTTCACCAAGCCTCTCGGGAATTCAGTGTTCTCTGTTCTGTAGACAGAACTCATTTTTGTTCTCCATCATCTTTCCCCCTGTAGACAATCTTATCTACTCCCATGACATAGTCAGTCTTGTATTGTGAAAGACTTCAGTTCCCTCTTCAGAGCATTATACCAACACAGCCAACTTGCCTACAACACACAAGCACAAATTCTTCAAATTCAAAATATCCAAACTAAAATCAACTATAAAAATGTGCTCAGCCATCCCACTCTTCTCTTCCATCATCCATAGCCATGCTTAAACAGAAACTTAGAAGTTATCCTTAATTTCTTCCTCTTACTCCTCATATCAAATTCATCAGGAGCTGTTAATTAACTCAGTCTTCAAAATATGTCTGTCCACCATTTTTTCTCAATCTTCTTTGTTAAAATCTTTGTCCAAGTCACTATCAACTCTAACCTGAACTACTTTAATATCTTACTAACCCGTCTCCCTACTTCTGCTAATTTCCACACCCATGATACATTCTCAAGAGAGTGATTTTTTCACAGCACTTCAGATAAAGTCACACACCCCCTCCCCCACTTAAAATCCACCCATAGTTTCTTGTCACATTTTGAACAAAATTCAAATGAATCTTTCATTTTTTAGGGGAGGGGGCTACTGGAATTTTGAACTCGGGGCCCCACACTTGCTAGGCAGGAACTCTACCATTTGAGCCATGTCTCCAGCTCTTTTTGCTTTATTTTTCAGATAGGCTATCATGGTTTTGCCACAGCTGGCCT